AGATAGAATTCTTAGGACTATGGTAGAGTACATGTATTTACTATTTTAAACAAGTATTTCCAGGAAGAAAATAGCTTTCCATATCCATGCCCTTGATAACATAAAATATTAATCTCTACTAATTTTGCCAATGTGAGTGAAAAATAGTATCTTAGTTTTAATAAGTAATTCCCTGCGTGTAGAGGTTGAGCATTTTTCCATGTTTATTGGACAGTGAGATTTTTTCTTCTGATCTACTCATGTTTTCTCTCTGCTTAACGCTTTTTATTTCATTTAGTCTTCACGTGTAGGCACTACTATTCTATCTATCTGTATAGTTAAAGAAATTGAGGTTTTTTTTTTTAAAGATTTTATTTATTTATTTGACAGACAGATCACAAGTAGGCAGAGAAGCAGGCAGAGAGAGGAGGAAGCAGGCTCCCTGCTGAGCAGAGAGCCCAATGCGGGGCTCGATCCCAGGACCCTGGGATCATGACCCGAGCCGAAAGCAGAGGCTTTAACCCACTGAGCCACCCAGGCGCCCCAGAAATTGAGGTTTTAATTAAGGAATTTCCCCCAAGCTTACCCAGCTAGTAAGTGGCAGGTTAGGGATATTAAACCAGGCAGACTGAGTGCAGGAGTTAGGCTTATTTTCATATTTATTGGCTATGTTTTTCTTCCCCCCCCTTTGGAATATTTTATTCTTGGCTTTATTATTTTTTTTGCAGTTTTTACTTTGGACAAGGCTTTTTTAAAATATATAAATGTATGTATATAATGTATTTATATAAATTATACTAAATATGTAAGAGATAGTAACCTCCTTACATGTGAAAAATATTTTCCAAACTATTGTATGTCATTTCATTGTATTTATTCTGCTTTTGCCAGAATTTTTTTTTTTTTAAAGATTTTATTTATTTGACAGAGAGAGATCACAAGTGGGCAGAGAGGCAAGCAGAGAGAGAGAGAGAGAGAGGAGGAAGCAGGCTCCCTGCAGAGCAGAGAGCCCGATGTGGGACTCGATCCCAGGATCCTGAGATCATGACCCGAGCTGAAGGCAGAGGCTTAACCCACTGAGCCACCCAGGTGCCCTGCCAGAATTTTTTTATAAAGATTTTTATTTTTATTTGATAGAGATCACAAGTAGGTAGGGAGGCAGGCGGCAGTGGGGGTGGGGAGAAGCAGGCTCCCCACTGAGCAGAGAGCCCGATGCAGGGCTCGATCCCAGGACCCTGAGATCATGATCTTAGCCGAAGGCAGAGTCTTAGCCCACTGAGCCACCCAGGTGCCCCAAGAATTTTTAATTACATAATCATTTGTCCAGTTTCTTTATAAGTAAGGATGCAGACTGACAGCAGAGTTGTCCTTTTAATGTGAACTTAAATACCTTTGTTCGGGCAGGGACCAGGCATAGTGAGTGGGATGGGGTGGAAGGATAGTCTCCACTTAACTGATTACAGTACCCACCACCCCTTACTGCTTACTCCACCTTAACTTACTTACTCCCAAAAGGTATTTGGGTTTTCAGTGCTAGCATGGTTTCTTGTTTCTACCTTAAGATCTTCCCCATCCCAGGTTTATAAAAATCACCTAGAATGTACTTTGGTATGTGATGTGAGGGTGAGGAGTCCAAACCTCAGATGGTTAATTATAGCTATGTTGTTTATGAATTAAAATACCATTTGTCCATTACATGGTTCAAATACTCTTCCAAAACATCAATTTTTTTTTTACAAGAGAACAAATCTACACCTTTATTTACTTTTCATTAAATTTAAATCCTTGAGGTGTACAGCATCACATGGATTCTGTGGCCAATGGCTTTAGCAGGAAGGTTGCTTCGGAATTTGGCGTGAACCATGCCGCTGTTTCCATGAGCACGAGTTACTTTTCCCCAGATTACTCTGGTTTTGTTTGGTTTGCCACCAGGAGTCACTGTGTTGTTCTTTCTTTGTACATGTAAGCACATCTCTTGCCTAGACAGAATTCCGTTTCATCTCGAGCATATACACCTTCGATTTTAAGAAGAGCTGTGTGCTCCCTCTGGTTGCAGAGACCCCGCTTATAGCCAGCAAAAATGGCCTTGGACCACAGCCTCCCAGACATTTTTCAGCGTTTTAGAGGAGTCCTGTTCCCAGCAGGCCTCCACAAGCCCCAAGATGGTGGAAAAAGCCAAAACATCAATTTTAAGTTTTAACTTTATGCAGCTATAACAGGTCTGTGAGCATTCTTGTACTAAAATCACTGATAACATCTCTGATCTGCCCCTAGACCCTGATAATAAGGGTAAGGAACTAACTGGTTTGCCTTTGTCATTTGTTTATTCACTCTTCCACTTGAAATTCAAATCGGAAACCTCATCACTAATTATTTGAATCCTTTATTTGCTCCTGGGCAAGTTCCAAGAGTCACTGAAGGTAGGTTTTTTATTTGGAAATTACATATGCACGAAGATGTATTCCAGTTCATGAAGTTAAATTTGATGTTTTCGTAAATGCCTTCAAATCAGGTGAAATGGCTTTTCTTTGGAAGTGCATTACATTGTACTTTGTGTGTTTTTGAGTGTTTTTGAGTGCTTTGTGTGTCCTATGAAATAACTTTATAAAATACATAAATTCAAACAGAGGTCACCATCAGGGATAAAAGAACTTAATATTTTCTTTGAGGACAAAAATTCCACAGGTTCATTTTTGTTGGTGAACCTGGTCCTCATAAGGAGAAATACTTTTTCCACAAAGAATTTGCCATTCTGAATTTAAGATACTTATTCCTTCTTGAAAACTTTACGCTAAGGGAGAAATTCCAGACACTAAAGTCCACATATTCCATTTATATAAAATATAAAAATAAGTAAATCCATATATAGAAAGTGATGAGTAGTTGTGAGGAGCTGGAAGGAGGAAAGAATAGGGAGTGATGGCTAATGGGTACAAGTTTCTTTTTGGGGTGATGAAGTGCTCTAGAATTAGCGGTGGTGGCTGCATAACCTTTCAAATACACTAAAAACTAAGTTGTTTGCTTTAAAATGGTGAAATTTAGGGGCACCTGGGTGGCTCAGTGGGTTAAAGCCTCTGCCTTCAGCTCAGGTAGTGATCCTAGAGTCCTGGGATCAGCTCTCTGTTCTACGGGGGGCCTGCTTCCTCCTCTCTCTCTGCCTGCCTCTCTGCCTATTTGTGATCTCTGTCTGTCAAATAAATAAATAAAATCTTTAAAAATAAATAAAATGGTGAAATTTATGGTACATAAATTATACTTAAAAAAATAAAACCCTCATTCCAAATTCTTCAAATTTCTGCATCAAATGCCATTGTGAAGGGGTTCCTGGCTGGCCCCATAGGATCGTGCAACTCTTGATTTCCAGGTGGTCAGTTTGAGCCCCAGATTATGTGAAGAGATTACTTAAAAAAAAAAAAAATGCTATTGTGAGAATTTTTATGATTGAGAGAAATCTCAGTGTGTTTTTTTTTTTTTAAATCCATCTGGCAATCCTAAACACTTAATAAATACTAAATACTTAATAATATACTAAATAAATACTAAATCCTAAACAATAAAGAATCTGGAAAAATAAATGATAAACTCCTATTAAGATCGAAAATCCTGCTTGATCCATGTAAAGACAAAAAAATGCACCTTCATAAACATTGGACAATATTTGATCCCATTTTTCTTGCCTATCTCTCTCACTTTATCCATCACTATACTCCTCCGACTTCCTGGCAATTGTCAGTTTATTCTCTAGGAATCTGTTTGTTTCATTCAATTGTTTTTGGTTTTCACATGTAAGTAAAGTCATATGGTATTTCTCTGACTCATTTCACATAGCATGGTACTCTCTAGGTCTATGTTGTAAATGGAAGATTTCATTGTGCATATGTGTATAAACACATCTTTATCCACTCATCTGGGGTTTCCATCAATTTATATTCCCACCAATAGTGCATGAGGGTTCCCTTTTTACATCGTTACTCTCCTTGTTACTTCTTGTCTTTCTGATAATAGCTATTCCAACACCTGTAATAGCTCTTTGTAGTTTTGGTTTGCATTTTCCTGATTAGTGATATTTAGCATCTTTCCATGTACCTGTTGACATCTGTATGTGTTCTTTGGAAAAGTATCTGTGCAAGGCCTCTGCACATTTTTTAAGGGAATTGGTTTTTGGGGTTGGGAGGGTTTTCTTGTTGTCTTTTAAATTTATTTATTTGATAGATTGAGAAAGTACAAGTAGGCAGAGGGAGAGGGAGAAGAAGGCTCTCTGCCGTGCAGAGAGCCTAATGGACCCTCAGATCATGACCTGAGCTGAAGGCAAGCACTTAACCCACTGAGCCACCCAGGCTCCCCTTTTGTTGTTTTCTAACTTTGAGTTTTATGGGTTCTTTATAGATTTTGGATGTTAATGCCTTATCAGTTAAAACATATGTGAGAATGTCTTTGCCCATTCAGTAGGTTGTCTTTTCCTTTTGTTGGTTTCTTTCACTAGGCAAAGAATGAAAGTTTGATGCAGTCCCATTTGTTCATTTTGATTCGTTTTTGAAGTTTCAAAATTTGCTAGAGAAGGTTTGGGAGAATGGATATGCACCTAAATGTTAATATTGGTAAGTGGCTAAAGGAATCCAGGCAGCTGTGTAAATGCTCTGTGCTGGTTTCCTTGGCGGGGGGTTGTGGGGGGGGATATCAACAGTTCATTACTTTTTAAATTTTTAAAAAGTAATATCTACCACCTCGTGTGGGAATGTAACTCACATCCCCCGCCCCCAGAGTAAGTCTCAAGCTGTACCTATTGAGCCAGCCATGTGCCCCTTGTTCCTTTTTATTGCTGAGTAGTAGTCTATGGTACACATATTCCAAAGTAAATTTCTTTAAAATGGACATAATAATTCCGCACTTACGGGGTGGTGAAAATTAACATAAAACTTTGTAAAGCATTTTTTAAATGGTAGCCGTATTAATGGTTACCTCTAGACTTTTATATTTCTTAACCACATTTCCTAAATTATTTGCAATGGACAATATTTTCTATGGAAATTTGCTTAAAACAAAAACACCCTGGTAGAATCACTCCACGAACGTACCAAAAAGTGAAATAAAAGAATTGAAAGCAGGCGGAAAAGACGGAGCAATACGACCAATCACGGAGACTGCGACCCTCCTACCGACCACGCGGAGTTCTCCAGGCCTCGTGGCCGCTCTCCAGGACACCGTACTCTTCCGCTCCCAGAGGTCCCCGGCGGCGGAAGTTGTCACTTCCAGAGAGACGCTGCCCACGCCGTGCACCCGGCAGTAAGCTCGCCATGGCGATGGGAGGAGGTGGTGGCGTCCCGGAGCAGGAGGACTCCGTGTTATTCCGGCGCGGCACAGGCCAGGTGAGGTCTTGGAGGGCACCGCCTCCCGACGAGTGACCCGAGCGGGCTCCCAGCGCCCTCCTCCCGGCCCCCGGGACTGGACGGGGCCTGGCGGGTTCGCTGATTACGGGGCCGTATTCCAGGTTTCTACGTCTTCACACGTTTGGGATCTTTTAGCCACGAGCTCCTTCCTCTTGCGGCTTGGACTCCCTGATAGCTGAGAGACGATTCCCTACCTCACCTTGATCGTACCTTCATTTATTCATTCTTTCTGATTGGGAAGTGGGCGGGAGGCAGACTTGGGTGAAGCAGGCGAACCAGTTAGGAGTCCGTTGAAATGATCCCGTTTTAGACCCAGGTGTTAGCAATGGAAAATAAAGTACTTCGATTCCAGGTGTAGTTTGAAATCAAGAGGTACTGTGGGTTTTGCACATGGAATCGATAATGGAGATTTGAGAAAGGTAAGTCAAAGATAATTTCAAGATTGTCCCGAACTGAAACTGCTTTTTACTCAGGTGTGCTTAGGAAGACTGTAGGTAGAGAAGGTTTTTAAGGGGGAAGATCAGCCTTGGGTAAAATCTGATTGGAGTGAGTTTGGAGAGGGAGAGAAGAAAATAAAGGGAAAATTTATAAATAAATATTTCAGGGGTGCCTGGGTGGCTCAGTGGGTTAAAGCCTCTGCCTTCGGCTCAGGTCATGATCCCAGGGTCCTGGGATCGAGCCCCGCATCGGGCTCTCTGCTCCGCAGGGAGCCTGCTTCCTCCTCTCTCTCTCTGCCTGCCTCTCTGCCTACTTGTGATCTCTGTCTGTCAAATAAATAAATAAAATCTTAAAAAAAAAATAAAATAAATATTTCAAGTTGTAAATAGAAGGTAGAGAAATTGGCCAGTAGATGGAGGGGGCACTGAAATAAACAGGATTCTCAATTTTGTTTTTTGTTTGTAAGGTGAGAGAAACCTGTTTCAACATTTTGTGGGCTGGTGGGAAAGATCCAGTAAGGACTGAAAACTTGGTGACACAAGAGACAGAAATGTCGAAGCACTGTTCTAGAATAGCTAAGAGAGGATGGATTTGGCCTTTGTTAGAAACATTGACAGTTAATATTGTGGTAATTATGTGCATAGAGACCTTTGTGATTGGACAGATTTGTCAAAGTTCTCTTTTGATTGTGGCTGTGTTCAGTAAAAGAAGTAAAGTCATCAGCTAGAAGTGAGAGGGGACAAAATGTTGGAGATTTGAGCAGAGAGAGCAGAAACTAGGGATAGAGAATGAGTGTTGGACTAGGGAAATGTAGTGGAAGTGTTGCTAGGCCACATTGATGGTCTACTTGAGATTTGTGGTCATGAGTATAAAGGGGACTAGGCAGCATAATTGTATTTTTCTCCAGCTAAGTTCAATTCAGGTGCGTGAGGGCAGGCACAGAGTGAATTAAGAGTTGAAATTAAAAGGGCTGTAGTTTGGGGGCGCCTGGGTGGCTCAGTGGGTTAAAGCCTCTGCCTTCGGCTCAGGTCATGATCCCAGGATCCTGTTAGGAGGCCCACATCGAGCTCCCCATCAGTGGAGAGCCGCCTCCTTCTGCCCCTTCCCTCACTTGTACTCTCACTCTCTTTCTATATTCTAAATAAAGCTACAGCCAGGGGGCTGTATCTTTACCAAGAGAATGTAAGGAAGGGAGATGGGGAGGTACAATGGAAATGTCTTGATAATTGGCCATGGAATTTAAGCTGGCTAAGAAATGGAGTGAGGGTTCTTAGAGTAGGAGTTTAAAAAGTTGGAGGATCAGTGTTTTGTCCCCATGAGATGGAATGATTGCCATCATCCACCTACTAGAAAGAGTAAGCTGCAGAGGCTAGAAAGTGATAGTTGTGGAAAGTAGGATTCTTTTTTTTTTTTTTTTCAATTCCAGTATACTCAACGTACAGCATAATATTAGTAACGTACAGTGTAATATTTCATGTGTACACTATAGTGGTTCAGTACTTCTCTATATTACTCAGGGCTTATCATGGTAAGTTTACTCTTAATCCCCTTCACCTATTTCAACCATCTCCCCAGCCACCTCTCCTCTGGTAACCATCAGTTTGTTCTCAATAGTTAAGAGTCTGTTTCTTAGTTTGTCTCTTTTTCCCCCCTTCGTTTGTGTTTTTTTGTTCTTGTTGTTGCTTTGTTTTTTAAGTAGGCTCCACACCCAACATGGGGCTTGAACTGACTACCCTGAGATCAAGAATTGCATCCTCCACCAATTGAGCCAGCCGGGTGCCTCCTCGTCCTTTGTTTTGTTTCTTAAATTCCACATATTTAAGAGTGAGATCATACAGTATTTGTCTTTTTCTGACTGATGTATTTCACTTAGCATTATACTCTCTAGGTCTGTCTGTGTTGTTGCAAATGGCAAGAATTCATTTTTATAGCTAATAATACTCCATTGTTTATATAACCACATTATCTTTATCCATTCATCTATCGGTGGATACTTGGGCTGCCTCCATTATTTGGCTAAATAATGCTGCAGTAAAAATAGAGGTGAAATGCCAATGGAAAAAAATTCAGGACAACGTAAAGAGGCAGAAAGGCATTTATTCAATGCTCATGGGTTAGAAGAACAAATATTGTTAAAATGTCTATACTACTGAAGGCAATCTACAGATTTAATACCATCCCTGTCAAAATACTAACAGTATTTCTCACAGAACTAGAACAAATAATCCTAAAATTTGTGTGGTAATACAGAAGACCTTGAATAGCCAAAGTAATCTTGAAATAGAAAAGTGAAACTGAAGGTATCAGAATTCCAGATTTCAAGATATATAACAGATTGGTAGTAATTAAAATAGTATGGTATTGGCATAAAAATACATAGCTCAATGGAATAGAACAGAAAACCCCAAAATAAGTGCACAGTTGTGTGGTCAATTAATCTTTGTGTGGTCAATTAATCAAGGAGGAATGAATGTACAATGGAAAAAAAAAAACAACTCTTCTACAAATGTTGTAGAAAAACTGGACCACTTTCTTTCTCCATACACAAAAATAAACTCAAAATGGATTAGACACCTAATGTAAGATCTGAAATCATACAAATCCTTGAAGAGAGCACAGGCAGTAATCTCTCTGACATTGGTCATAGCACCATTTTTTTAGATAGGTCTCCTGAGACAAGCAAAATAAAAGCAAAAGTTATTGGAACTACATCAGAAAAAAAGTTCCTGTACAGCAAAGGAAACAATCATCAAAACTAAAAGGCAACCAATGAATGGGAGAGGGTATTTGCAAATGACATATCCAATAAAGGATTAGTATCCAAAATATGTGAAGAACTGATAGAACTCAATACCCAGCAAACAATCCAATTTAAAAATGGGCAGAAGAGGGGCGCCTGGCTGTGTGAGTCAGTAGAACATATGACTCTTTAACTCACTATTGCGAGCCCATCTATTGGTGGATGTAGAGCTTACTTTAAAAAATTAACTAAAAATTAAGAAAAGAATGGGCAGAAGACATGAACAGACATTTCCAAAGAAGAAGACAGATGCCATATGAAAATAAGCACAGCATCACTCATCACAAAGGAAATGCAAATCAAAACCATAATGAGGGGTGCCTGGCTGGCTCAGTGGGTAGAGTAAGTGACTCTGGATCTTGGAGTCATGAGTTGACCCCCATGTTGGGCACAGAGTTTACTTTAAAAAAAAAAAAAAAAAAGATACCATCTCATCTGTCATAATGGCTAAAATTTTTAAAAAGTGTGTGTGAGGCTGTGCAGAAAAGGGAACCCTCTTGCACTGTCAGTGGGAATGCAAATTGGTCCATCTGTGGAACACAGTATAAAGGTTCCTCAAAAAATTAAAAATACAACTACCTTAAGAGGTAGGAATTGCACTACAGGGTATTTACCCCAAAAAAGATAAAAACTAAGTCAAAGGGATATATGCACCCCTATGTTTATAGTAGCATTATTTATACTAGCCAAATTGGAAGCAGTCCAAGTGTCCATTGATCTGTGAATGGATAAAGAAGATGCAGTATATATATACAATGGAATATTACATAGTCCTAAAAAGAAATGAAGTCTTTCCATTTACAACAACATGCATAGAGCTAGAGAGTATAATGCTAAGTGAAATAGGAAAGTGAAATAGGAAAACAAATAGCATATGATTTGATTTTTTTTTTTTTTTTTTTAGATTTTATTTATTTATTTGACAGAGACAGCGAGAGAGGGAACATAAACAGGAGGAGAGGGAGAAGCCGGCTTCCCACTGAGCAGGGAGCCTGATGCAGGCCTTGATCCCTGGACCCTGGGATCATGACCCGAGCCAAAGGCAGATGCCTCTGATTTGACTCTTACGTGGAATTTAAGAAACCAAACAAACGGGTGCCTGGGTGGCTTGGTTGGTAAATCGTCTGACTCTTGATCTCAGCTCAGGTCTCTATCTCAGGTGAGTTCAAGCCCCACTTTGGGCTCCATGCTAGGCCTGGAGCCTACGTTAAAAAAAAAAAAAAAAGGGAAGAAAGAAAGAGAAAACAAAGGAAAAACACAAACCAAGAAAGGCTCTTAACTAGAGAGAACAAACTAATGGTTAGGAGAGGTAGGTGGGGGTATGGGGATTAAAGAATATACCTATGATGAAATGAAATGATTGTTAAAATAAACATAAGGGTGCATATATCCTTTCAGGTTAGTGTTTAGTGTTTTTGTATTCTGTGGGTATATATTCAGTGTGGTTACTGGATCACGGGGGTGAGTAGTTCTATTATTAATTTTTTGTGTAATCTTCATACTGTTTTCCATGGTGGCTGGTCCAGTTTGGATTGTCACCAACAGTACAGGAGGATTCCTTTTTCTGCCCATCCTTACCCACACTTGTTTCTTGTGTTCTTGATTTTAGCCATTATAACAGATGTGAGTTGATATCTCCTTGGGGTTTTGGTTTGGATTTGCCTGATGATGAGAGATGTTAAGCATCTTTTCATGTGTGTTTTGGCCCTCTGTGTCTTCTTCCAAGAAATATCTATTCATC